CTCTGGCAAGCGCTTGCCCCCTATAGTGAAAACCCCTCTCCCAAAAAAAAAAAAAAAAAAAGAAATTTCTGAATTAACTCAAACAACTATGAAAACATACATTTTAGCTATCGTACATTTACAAAAAATATAAGGATATATTGTCAAATGTCTTACTCATTTTTTATGTCTATGTAAGATGTAAAAATTATACAAAAACCCCTCATCTCTATTAAAACAATGATAAATCACCAGATAAACCAAATAATAATATATTTTAAAAAATTTAAAAACTGTGCATATAACCATAACAACTAAGACAAAACAAAAATAACAACTAAAAACAAAAGTCATGCTCCTTTTTTAGCCTTTATTTTTTGGGAGGGCGGAAATGCAATGTAATGGATCATTAGGAAAATCATGATGCAATTTTCCATACAAAAATACATCATAGGTCTCCCAACAACCTAATATGTTATGTAGTCAAAATTTATAATTTATGAAAAAAGCAAGACAATGTAATCCATGGTCTAGAGTAAATCAATCAATGGAATTGACCTAGAGATGATGCAGGTATTAAAATAATGAGAAGAACATAAATATAAATGTGATCATTTAAAATTTTCATAGGAAAAGAAAAGGAGTTTTCGAAAATGAACTGGAATAGGTCAAAATTAGGTTATCTGCCCATGGTTTTATCATCTACTTAGCAGAAAATATACAATCAAATGAAGTAAAATAATTCTGCAAATGCAAAGAGTAAAAGATGAATCTGTGAAACTGTCAACTAATTAGTTCCAATGGAAAAAGAAAACCCAACAAGAAAAACAAAATATTTTAAAAGGATACTATGTTCAAAGCTAATAAAACTACACTCTATAAAGGAATTAACCAAGAATAGAAGGGTGCCTTCAAATATTAATTTAAAAAATGCATATTATTAAAAAAACTATGCATGGATTTCAATTTGTTTCCACTAAAACACACACAGACTTTAATTCCAACTTTCTTTAAAATAGAATTATTTTTATTTAACTTTACTCATTTTATTGATTGATTGATTTTAATTTGACCACTGAGAGACAGAGATAGAGAGGGAAAGTGAGAAAGCAAGTTGCCTGGTCCGAGACTCGAACTGTGGTTGGCCATGTGGGAGTTCGATTTTCTATGAACTCTTTGAAATCTCTTCATATATAAGTCATTTCTGGAAAAACTTAGAAACTTGAAAAGAAAGCAAATAAGATTGATTGACTACATAAGTAGATTTGTTTTGGATGAGATTATTTGATATGAAAGATATTCTAATCATAATCCATTAAGATAAAATCAGAAAAGTAGTGCATTATTACTCAGAATTCCTTGAGAATTATTTAAAACTCAACAAACATAACTCTGTTTCTTTTTCTTTTTTTCAATACTAGACACTGCATACACTCATCAGAGAGATAGGTAGGGAGCGAAAGTACACCCTAGTTGGGTGTAGTCATATTCCAGATCTTCTACTCCATTGTTCATCCTGTGTAGATTTGGGGTATGCATAAACACTAGCCATGGTCAGGACATAAACTGACTTTGTGGAGTCTGGCTCCCTTAACCACTAATAGGAGCCAGCCCATTAACAACATTACTTTAAATCGCAAAGTGTGGGGTCCATATCATGGCACAGCTGTGGAACAATATGGTCTGTGAGGTAACTTTCTCATAGGGAAGGTTGTTAGTTTCAGTCTGGAGTATGTTAGGTACAAGTGTGCCCAGAACCTTGGCTGGCTGAAGATGAGGGTGAGTATGATATAGAGACCTTCCAGGATACTAATTTTGTGTCTCTCTTTTTCTCACTCATGGGATAAACTGTAAAACTTAAGAAAAGAACAAGCAAATAAACAGGAAAAGGCAAATCTCTACACATTCAGAACTCACATTCAGGATAAAGGTGGCCCCATAATTGACTGGAGCAAATCAGTTTGGTGAAAGCGGGGTCAGTATACATAGAAATACAATTAGATTCATTTTTTTTTTTTTTAAGAGGTTTTTGCTATAGGGAACATGTGCTTGCCAGACAGAGACAGACATAGAGACAGAAAATGAGAAATCATCCCCCAGGGGGGATGGTCATGCCGCAATCCCTTCTCCTCCATTATCCTCTCAGGATCTTGGGCACGCACACACACGTGCCTGGCGTGAGTTTAAACCACCAGGTCCGGGATGCGAACCACGGTCGACTACGTGGGAATCCAGCGACATTGCCATTACGCTAACTGCTGGTTCCCTACAATTAAATTCTTATGTAAAATGAATAAAGTTCTAAATGTTAAAGAAAAAACATACTTCTAATAACAGAAGAAAATGTAGGAGAATGCTCTGTGACTATAGCTTGGGCTATGATTTCCTGGATTTTTTTTTTTTTTTTTAAGTACAATCACCCAATAATTAAATTCATTGCATATGACTGACTTTGTCTTCTGCATTGCATTCTGGTTGACAATGTTTTTACGCTATGCATTCATAACCTAAATTAGATCCTTTTAATCTTTCAGGCTTGTTCTGAGTTCAGTCTCTGACTATTTTGCGGCCATGTTTACAAGTGATGTCTGTGAAGCTAAGCAAGAGGAGATCAAGATGGAAGGCATAGACCCCAATGCCCTCTGGGACCTTGTTCAATTTGCATACACAGGTATGGTGGAAGGATTATAACATCACAGAAATATCTTAAGTTTAACTTCTTTCCTTTGAGTGCAGGATTTAAAGCTAAAATACATCTATGCCTAGCCTATATCTTTCATATTTCTTTTCAGCTAAAGGCTACTGAATGGGGAAAAAGCAGACTAACTGTTCACGTGTCACTGATGGTCCTAATGCATGTATGTGTATACATGGATACTACACTTTTCCACAAAAAATGTAAACATGTACACAAATTAATAAAATACATATTTCATGGAATGAGCTTGGGAGTGGAGCAGTAAGGATTAAATGAGAATTTCTGTCTTCTACTTGCTCAGAGCGTTATGAAGGAAAAGAGATTCT